AAATAGATGATCTCTACCTCAATCTGATAAAAGCTATCTATGAACCAATAGCCAATATCATACTAAATGGTCAACAGCTGAAATCCTTTGTGCTAAAATCAGGAACAACACAAGGATGTCCACAATCACCACTCTTCTTAAATATAATTTTGCAAACATTAGTCACAGAAGCTAGATAAGAGAAAGACATAAAATGAATAAAGATAGAAAATAAATAAGTCAAATTGTCATCATTTATAGTTTACATGATACTCTATTAGAAGACTCCAAAAACTCCACCAAAATCTTCTACACTGAATAACCAAATTCAGTCAAGTAACTGGATGCAAGGCCAACACACGAAATTGTATAGCTTTCCTGTACATGAACAACAGACTCATTGAGAGAGAAATGGGTCAAACAATTCCTTTTACAATAACTTCCAAAAAATTGAAATACCTAGAAATCAAGCTAACAAAAGAAATCAAAGAACTCTACGATGAAAACGATAGCACTCTGAAAAAAGAGATTGAGATAATACCAGAAAAAGAAAGACACTCCTTTCCTTTGGATAGGAAAAATCAACATAGTGCAAATGTCCATACTTCCAAAACCGCTATACAGATTCAATGCAATCTCAATTGAAATTACAGCAGCATACTTCACAGACCTTGATGAAACAATCCAAAAATTCATTTCAAACAAGAAGAGACCAAGAATTCCAAAAGCGATTCTAGCCAATAAAGACAAGGTAAGGGGTATGACAGTCCCCAACTTGATATTACCACAAAGCTACTGTGATAAAAATGTAATGGTACTGGCAAAGAGACGGACCTGAGGACCAGTGGAATAGATTAGAAGATGCAGAAACAACTCCAGATACACTCAGCAAAGTCATCTTTGACAAAGGAGACAAACACCCTCACTGGAGGAAAGTTAACTTCTTTAATAAATGGTGCTGTAAAAACTGGGCTTCAACTAGCCAAGGATTAAAACTAGACCTATATATCTCACCATGAACTAAACTAAAATAAAATGGATTAATGAGCTAAATATGAAAACAGAAACACTAAACCAGCTAGAGGAGAGGTTATGTAGATCTCTTAAAGACATTGGTATAGGAAAATATTTCATGAAGAAAACCTTAATTGCTGGTGAATTAGCACAAAGAATCAACAGGTGGGATCTCTTATTAAAAAGCTTCTGCACAGCAAGATAAACCACCAACAGTGTGAAGAGACAATGCACAATGTGGGAAAAAATTTTCACCATTCCTCAGGCAAATATCTGCTATCTAGAATATATAAAGAACTTTCAAAATCAGACCTGCAAGGCCAGAGATTTAGTTCAGTGGTTCTTCTGCCTGCTTCACAAGTGCAAGGTCCCGAGTTTGATCATTGTTATAAAGAAAAATCAGACCTCCCAAATGTAAAGACCCAATCCAAAAACGGGTATCTGAAATGAACAGACATTTCTCAAACAAAGAAGTAGAAATATCAAATAAACACATGAAAAAATGTCCAACATCACTGGTCATTTGAGAGATACAAAGGAAAACAATGCTGAGCGTCTACCTCACCCCAGAAAGAATGGCTGCTATTGTGAAATCAATAAATAAATGCTGGCTGTACAGTGGGGAAAGAGAAACACTGCTCCACTGCTGGTGAGAGTGTAGACTGGTTGGTGCAACCACTATGGAAATAAATATGGAGATACCTCCATGAACTAGGATCAGAAGTCCCATTTTACCCAGCTATTTCTCTGCTGGGTGTCTTCCTCAAAGAACTTAAAGAATCATACCACAGTGATATATTTGCACCCACGTTCATAGCAGCACAATTTGTAATATTTAAAATGTGAAAGCATCTTAATGGCCCATAAACTGGGAACTGGACAAAGAAAATGCGTTTATTTTTTAATAAAATGGAGTACTACTCAGCCATTAAAAATGAGAAACTAGAGACATTTGTAGCTCAATGGATGCACAATGTGGTCATACACTTAAATGAAATAAATAAGGACACCTATGTAAACACTTAATAGTTTCTCTGGTGTGAGAAACTGAAAGTGTAATGAGGAATACAAGGTATAATAAATAATGTGAAATAGAGAGAAAAGGGGCAAAGGGGAAGGGGAAGTGTGAGGGGTAGAGAAAAGAAAGAAGGGAATAGAATTAATCTGAGAAAATGAAAAATGGAAACAAAGTCTTTGTAAATAGAGAGGGATGGAGGGGTTGAAAAGAGGACATGAGAATTGGAAAAACAATAAGAACCAATATAGACATGTAAAGGTGCAAATTTTTCAATGATGAATATCATTATATTGTAAACCTACAATGTATCAATAAAATAAAGAAACCCTAAACAATCAAAAAACAAAAACCCAACCGGACTGAAAAAGGAAAATAAATTAAGCAAACAAGGAAAAAAAACATAATAAAAAGTATTAGAATTCCTCTGGTGTCCACAGTTCTGTGTTACTGTCTGAATCAGAGCTTGTAGATGCATTGTGCAGCCCCACAAGATCATTTCTGGGCATCAGGCTGTTTCTGGCTTTTGGGGTCTCTCAGTTGGAGCCAGTCCAGGCCCATTCCCAAGTCTGCACACAGTTGGTCATTCCTGGATCTTGCATAGGCTCATCTGTTCCACACCTTTGATTACCTTCACACTTGGGCTATTGGGGTGGGCACCATTGTCCTGTCACTGGCCATGGTCATTTGCTTGTTTGTGTCCATAAGCACAGTGCTGGGGGGGCATCTCCTGTACTTTTTAGTCAGATCTAGTCTTTGTGGCCCTGGGAAGTCCTGGGAGTGGAGTTTGCTGGTCCCAGTCCTTATTTCTCAACATAATCTCTCTCAATCAGCTGAGCAGCTGCCAGAAGTCTACCATGACTGGATAGTTCTTTCCTTCTTTCTCTCCCAGCAGCAAAATGACCTTGGAACAATTCTGCGGTTCTGCTTTCAGAGTTCAAGTGCAAGCCTCTCTACACAAAATGGCAGCCCCACCACCTAGGTTCCTTTCACTTCTCCTATCAATTATTGTCCCCAGGGGGGCCTTTGAAGCATATTATCTTGCACCTTCAGCACTGCCTTCAACTATATAAGACTATTTTCAAGTATATAAAACTATTTCTCAGTGACTGAGCAGCTGTTTCTTTTGCTGATCCCTGCCAGGGCAGGTACACAGCTGCTTGATCAAATCACATGCTCTCTGATTTGCATCAGTAATCTATTTCTTTGGTTGCAATGGATTCTATTTTCTTTTTTTCCTCTGTCAGTTTCCTCGTGGTGCCCCTGTGCTCTCTATACCCTTTTTTTGGACTCTAGGCTGTTGATTTCCAAACTATAGACATTTTGTTTTGGAGAGGCTTTACTGCTGGTACTCACCACTCCACCATTTTTTCTCCCTATTTTTAGATTTTTAAGAAACTTTCATACTGTTCTTTGTAACAATTATGCTAATTTACATTTTGATTTGCATTTCCCTCATGGTTAATGTCTACTCAGATCATTTTCCCATTATTAATTACTAGTTTTATCTTCGTTCTTATTCCTGAGTATTTTCTTTATAGATATTGTGAAGTATTTTCTTTATAGATATTATTTCTCTACAAATCCATTACTGGTTTGTATAAATGCTACTAATATTTGTATGTGAATTTCATATCATGCTATTTTACTAAATTCATAATAGTTCCAATAAATTTTTGGGGGGGTATTCTTTAGATTTTTCTGTGAACAAAATCATATCTTCTAAAAAGGATAATTTGACATCTTTTCTTCCTATGTGTATATCTTTTTTTTTCTATCAAATGAGTATTAGTCATTTTCTTGTCAGTGAGACAAAATTTCTGATGCCCCCAAATTAAAGGAGGAATTGTTATACAGCTCAAAGGAAGAGACAGTGTGATTAAAGTGATTGACAGTGTGATTAAAGCAGAAGAAAGCTGTTCCACCCATGAAAGTCAGGAAACAAAGAAAGGAGACAGGAGCCACCTCTACGTTGCAGGTCATGCTCTCCGTGACCTACCTTCAACCAGGCTCCACATTTTAACCATATAATTTTGCTACTGAACTTATCAATGGATGAATGCACAGAAGAGTAGAGTACCACCATGATCCAACCTTCTCCCAAACACATGAGACTTCAAGGGGACATTTTAGATCTAAAATAAAATAAATATAATAACCCTTTTGCTGTGAGGACCAATAAAACTTTTTTAAAAAGTTAAAATAATTCAACACACAATTGCACAAGTTAAATATTTCCATTCTAAAAGGGAAACGTAAGTAGATAGAAAGTAAAGAAACTAAAGCAAGACCAAAGCTAACAAGGCAAACATTAAATCCTTTTTAGCTCCATTCAAGCATTTGAGACGAGTTTTGATAAGATCTGAGCTTGGTTGGCACTGCCTCTATGACATTATAGGCTGATGACTTCACAGTCTCACACCTTGGTGATTGTGCTTACTGCCTCAAGCTTTCCCCCAGTGGATGTTCTATTTTCCTGGGATCTCTGCTGTACTTGTAGCTTCACTCTCATAGCTTCATGCACTGACTTCTCATTCTCTGTTGGCAGGATATGTGACAACATCACACAATTTTGCCTAGTCAACAAGACCTTCTGAAATCAGGATGGAAGCCTCCATAACCCCATAACTCTTGGACTCTGTATGATTGAAAATTTAGTAGAATATGGAAAATGTCAAAGTCAGATCCTAGCTTGAGCAGTAGCTAGCCTCTTTGAGCACTCTTTTAGAAGATAAAACTAAATTTACTTATTTTTTACATATGTGAAGTTATAAGTAACTTTTCCAATTTTAAAGTTATTTTCTTTTTAATTATTTATTAATTAACTCATTTATTTTATTTTTTGTATAGTACTGGTGATTAAACCCAGGGGATGATGTGCTTTTTCATTTTGTCTTGAGAAAGTATCTTGCCCAAGAAATCCGCAAATTTGTCAACCTCCTCAGCAGCTGAGTTTAAAAGCCTATGCCGCAGCATTCACCTAAACACTCACCTCTTTAAAAGCAAAGTTTTAACATCAACTAAGCCATGATTGGCAAGGCAGTTGAAAGTGATGACATATTTCTTCGTAGAGTTATTAGTTATCTTGCTTGCTTAGAATTGTGCTGATAAAAGACAAGAAAGGAAAATATGGCATAGATATTTTAAAGGATTGTTTTTAAAACTCTACAAAATTGTGAAGTACACAATAGTGATGTAATGTGAAGGGGTAGATAACAACATAGGTAAAACTTGACATAAAGTTATTTCTTCCTTGAAATTTTATGTAATTTTCCCTTAACTAATTTTATTGCCTTCTGTAGGTACAAAATATACACCTCAAAAAATCCAGTATGAGCATTCTTTTCAAATATAACCATTTTAATTGGGGAGTGATTTTTGAAACTGACTGCTGATCTATTTAGCATTTTTCTGGTAACTTATGAAGTCTACATACTTTTAATGTCTTTATTTGACATTTTTATATCTATGGTAAGATGTGTGATCAAATATTTTATATATTTTTAGTTGTGAGTACTTTTGTTATTGAGACTTCACAGTTTCTTTTGTATATCCTACATATAAATATGCTATCATATATAAGGTTGACATGTAATTTTACCAGATTCTTTAATCACCATTCACTTTCACAAGATACCAAGGTGGTCCATTACACTGAGGACATTATGCTGATTGAATATAGTAAAAAAAAATATTCAGCAACCTTCTACAACAGTGAAATTTCTTTTTCTTTTCCTTCTTTTTTCTTTTTTGGACCAGGGATTAAACTCAGGACCTTGTGCTTGCAAGGCTGGTGCCTAGCGACTGAGCTAAATCCCCACCTAGCAGTGAAATTTCTAGGGTCCAGAGTGTGTGTCATGTCGAGAGACCATTTCTAAGTGGAAGGGTAAGTTATTGAATCTGGCTCCTCCACATCAAAAGGAGCACAATGTCTTGTGAGAATTTTGGATTTTGGAGGAAACTTCTACCTTACTTGTGTTTGTTATAATATCTCATTGTCAAGTAACCTTGAAAATGTTACTTTTGAATGGGATCCAATGAGGAGAAGGCTATGTAAGAAATATAGGTTGCTGTGCAATCTGCCTGCCAACTGGGCCATACATTCCAGCATATATACTAGTACGTGGAATAGCAAAGGCAGTTAAATGCTGCTTCAAAATGTTTGAATTATCTATAGGTGAACAGCTGTGCAACCACAGGATAAGCCCTGCCATTCTCTGAAAATAAATATTTTCTTTTGGAGAAGCATCCCTTAGTCTATTAGTGAAACTTATTAGACTGAATTTTTTTTACCACAGTCCATTAAATTACTGCGAAGTCTGAGGTATCCATCATGAGCTCAGTGTTATTGGCCCACTATGCCATAAAATTGGGTGTGAAGTACTACTTCAAATGAAAGTGAATATATGCAATCTGGCCCAAAAGGACCCTGAAGGTATAAATAGTTACACAAAGAATTTACCCAAATTTTCACAATTTCCAGTCCAGCTACACCACTTGTATTTTTTAGCTTGGAGCCTTGTGTAGAGTTCCTTGTGATAATTTGACAGTGGAAGAAGGAATTAAGATAGGTACCACTTTGTAACAAATTCTATTATTCAGAGGTGATGGCTGCACTACTCTACCCCCTTTTTTCGACAAGACTAAGGGATACTGATGGGGGGCGGGTCATACTTCCGTCTGAAAGTACTTTTAGGACTGAACGGAGTTGTTTTTTTGTTTTTTGTTTTTGTCTAACAAGGAGAAATGACCAGAGAAATGACCAGATGTTCAGTTATACATAGATCCATAGTCTGTGGTCAATAGTTTGACTGAAAGATGTGAGCTTTGAAAGGAGGCTGACTAGAAAATTTGTAACTAGAAAATTTAGGGAAAAACATGAGGGTTTACTGCTTTTAGCAGATGATAAATATAAACATTTTATGTTTAATGTGAATGCTTATCAAAGAGTGATTTCAGAAGAGGGAGATTTTAATCAGCATGTTGACATAATGATCCAATTTGTAGAGAGCAGTCAGCCTTTTTCTTCAGGTACCTCTGTCACCACCCACAGGGCTCATGAAAACATGGTGGTCATGGTAGCTGAAATGCAGCTTACACATGGTCTCAGTATGCAATATACTGATTTAAACCTGCTTTAAAGACTACTAAGTGCTCAGTCTGCTAGCCTTAGAAATCAACACTGAGCTTCCTCTATTTCACCACTTTGTAAAGTGGTGAACCAGTACACTAATTAAACTGAACCAGATCCATCATGGAAGGAGCAGTGTTTTGATTGTAATGGAGTAGACAGATGTTGACATGCTTTCTTGCTCATAATTCTTATGCCAAAACTGTGTGTGGATGTATACAATTCTTTATTCACTGCAATATTCTTTCATACATTATCACTTCTGAACAAAGAACTAATTTTACAGTTTAAAAAAGTACATCGATGAGCCTGTGCTCATGAGAGTCACTGGTTTGCCATATATTCCACCAGCTTGAAGAAAAGTAGTTTGATAGAATGATATGATCACATTTTGAAGAATCTTTCAGATACTATACATATGGCAGTATTGTATAGGGTTGGGACAAGGTCCTCAAGAAGACGGTATGTGTGATGTTTCAGTAGCTTGATTCATAGGTTCAAAAATGAGAGTGGAATTTCCCAATAACCCTAATGATCTCCAAGCAAAATTGATTTCTGTTCCTGAGACTCTAGGCTTTTCTAACCTAAAAGTCTCCATTTTAGAAGAAGTAATGCTTCCAATAGGAGATAAAATAGTGATTAAGCATAAAATTAAGACTGTGAGCTTGTTACTTTGGTTTCACAATTCTTCTGATTTGGTGAGCAAACCAAGGATTGACTGTGTTGTCTAGAATGAGTGATTCTAACTACCAGGGAAATGTGACTATGGCTCTACAAGAGAGGTAAGTAAGACCACATTTGGAAGAGGGTATCTCTAATGGTGTCTCTTAACACTATGCCATAGTTAAGGCCAATGGGAAACTTCAACAATACACAATCCACTTCTACAATACTCAATCTAACAATACGCAACTATATGTATTTGACCATATGGGACTCCTAATGGCTCAGAATATATGTGTATAAACATTCAGAAAGTGAGAGAGAGAGAAAGAGAGAGAGAGAGAGAGAGAGAGA